GCGACGGGGGGCGCTGGCACCGGTTAGGAGGATGCTGGTGAGGATGAGGAGGAAGAAGAGGATGATGAGGATGAGGATGAGGATGAGGATGAGGATGATGATGATGATGATGATGATGATGATGATGATGATGATGATGGTGATGGTGATGGTGATGATGATGCTGATGGTGATGCTGACGATAATGATGGCGGAGGTGGTGATAACAGAGATGGTGGTGATGATGATGATGATGATGATGATGATGATGATGATGATGATGGTTGGTGATGGCAATGATGGTGATACTTGTACTGATACTTATGTTGCTGATGCTGATGATGATAACGGGTATGCAGATGCTGTGGATGATGATGGTGTCGGTGATGATGCTACAGTTATGATGATAATGTTGCTGATTATGATGATCTTGATGGTGGTAAATGTCGATGATGATGCTGATGATGCTGATGGTGGTGCTAATGCGTAATTATGCTGATACTGATGAGCAGGTTGATGGATGGTCATGATGATGATGGTGGTGGTGGTGATGACGATGTTGATGGTGGGGTTGCCGATGATAGTGGTTCTGTCGATTATAATGATGATGGTGATGATGATGGTGGTGGTGATGATGATGTTGCTACTGATGATGATGCGGATGCGGATGATGATGATGATGATGATGATGATGATGATGACGATGATGATGATGACGATGATGATGATGATGATGCTGGATAGTTGTTAACGATGTCTGATGGTTGAAAGTGACTGACGATGATGACGATGATGCTGCTGATGATGGCCTATGACGATGATAAGGACGATGATGATGATGATGATGATGATGATGATGATGATGATGCGGATGGTGCTGGTGATGGTCATGGTGGTGATGATGATTATTCTGATGATGCTGCGGATGAGCTTGCTGATGATGATGCTCGGTTGATGGTGTTTGGTGGTTGGTGTCGATGATGATGACGATGCTGTTGCTGAAGATCATGATGAGCTTGAGGATGCGGATGCGGACGCGGATGATGATGATGGTGATAATAGTGATGATGATGGTGTTGGTGATGCTGGTGTCGATGTTGATGTTTATAATGATAATAGTGATGGTGATCATGATGATGAGGATGATGGTGATGATTCGAATGATGAATATGAATTTGATGGCGATGGTGATGATGATGGTTATGATGATGGTTGTGGTTGTGTTGATGCTGATGGTGGTTTGGGTGATGATGGTGATGGCGACGCCGCTGATGATGACGATGCTGCTGATGATGAATGTGGTGGTGATGATGATGCTGCTGATGATGATGGTGGTGGTAATGCGAGGTGTTGGTTGACGATTTCCATGGTTGTTGGCAGTGATGATGGCGATGATGATGATGATGATGATGACGATGAGGATGAGGATGATGATGATGCTGAGTATGTTGATGATGCTGCTGGTTGTGTGACGATGATGATTCTAGTGCTGCTGCTGATCATGATGCTGATGCTGATGATCGGTGACATTGATCGTGGGTCACCGTACTGATGAGGTTGATGACGATAATGGCGATGGTAATGCTGATGACGATGATGAGGATGAAGATGAGGGCGATAATGACATTGATGATGTCGATGTTGAGGTTGACGATGGTGTGATTGTGCAGGCATTGTTGTTGATGGCAAAATGATGGTTTCTGATGATGGCTGTGCTGGTGTTGATGATGCTGATGGTGACGATGATGATGATGGTGAAGGTGACGATGCTGAAAGTACTGATGCTGAAGGCATGGTCGTGATGATGATGTTGATGCTGCTGATGGTGATGATGCTGATCACGATGTTCGGTGATGATGGTGATGACGCTTGATGGTCGTTGACGATGGTGGTGGCGATGGTAGTCATGATGATTGTGACGATCATGATGATGAGGCACATGATGCTGTTGATGATCGTATTGATGATGCTGCTGGTGATGTTGATTAGGATGCTGCTGCTGATGATGATGACGATGCTGCTGCTGAACACCTGGCGGTCATGAGTGATGGTGAATGGTGGTTTGCGATGATACGGATGTCGTTGGTGACGGTGAGGATGAGGACGAGGACGAGGATGATGATGTGCGGTGATGGTGATGCTGAGGGTGTTCGTGGTGAAGATGATATTGAGAATTGGTTGTTGTTGATGATGATGCTGATCATGATGGTCGGTGATGACTGATGGATGTTGATTGTCGCTGACGGTGATGATGACGATGATGATGGCGACGATGATGATGCTGATGATGATGATGATGATTATGGCGATGCTGCTTGTGTTGATGATGGCGATGCTGATGATGATGATGATTGTGATAGTGGTGCTGATGGTGTTGATGGTGATGCTGCTTATGTTTTCGATGCTGATGCTGGTGCTCGATGACCATTGATGGTGGTTGGTAGCGGCTGACGATGATGGTGACGATGATGATGCTGTTGAGTATAAGGGCGAGGAGGATGATGCTGATGGTGCTGATGGTGGTGATGATTATGCTGCTGATAATGATGCTGATGATGACGATTTTGCTCAGTGATCAGCGATGGTGTTGCTCGATGACGGTTGACGATAATGCTTTTGATTATGGCGCTTGATGGAGTTTGATGGTCATTGACAACTATGATGGTGCTCGATGATGCTCGATCCGTGATGGTGCTTGACGATAAGGTTTGATGGTTTTGCTCCATGATGCTTGACACTGTTGCTTGCCCAGTGGTGGCGATGATAATGATGCTCAATGGTGGTCGGCGAGAATGATGGTGATGGTCGATGGTGGTTGATTATGTTTGGCGATGATGGTCATGATGGTGATGATTATGACGACGATTATGAGGGTGATGTGGCTGCTGATGATGATTTTGGTGATGTTGATGGCTATGGAGATGCTGGTGATGATTGCCGGTGCCCATTGATGATGGTTGATGGCGGTTGACGATAATCATGCTGACGATGATGATGATGATGGTGATGATGATGATGATAAAGGTTATGATGATGATGATGATCAGGAAGACGATGATAATGATGACGATGCTGATGATGATGATGATGATCAATATGATTGTGATGCTCATGATATCATTGATGATTTTGATGACAATGATGATGATGGTATAGATGGTGATGATGACGACGATGATTACGATGACGAGGAGAAGGAGGAGGAGGGGGAGGAGGGGAAGGAGGGAAAGGAGGAGGAGGAAAAGGATACTGAGAAGGAGGAAAAGGATAATGTGGAGCAGGATCAGGAGCAGGAACACGACAAGGAGCAGGAGCAGGAACACGATGAGCAAGATGAGCAGGAAGAGCAGGAGGATCGCTACGACTGAAACAACGGCCATCCAGCCAATGTCTGTCCAACGTTAAAACATCGCGATGAATAGAGATGATCATGAGGAGGACGAGGGGAGGAGGAGGAGGAGGAGGAGGAGGAGGAGGAGGAGGAGGAGGAGGACGAGGAGGAGGAGGAGGACGAGGAGGAGGAGGAGGAGGAGAGGAGGAGGAGGAGGAGGCGGAGGCGGAGGAGGAGGAGGAGGAGGATCGCAGCAAAGGATAGGGGGTTATGGAGGTTGTCCGCCGCTTCCCAGGCCCCCCCCCCGCCTGTGGAAGGAACCCGTGTAATACCCTCATATATACTCCTTATCCTTACCTCTCCCGCACCTGGCCGTTTGGGCTCAGGTACTGAGTTGGAGCGATCGTACCTTGATCGCGTGGGAGGGAAAGATATCCATCTATCCCTCCATCTCTCTACCAACGGACCAGGGGTTCTGTACCCTTGTACTTCAACCCCATACACAGGTTATCAGCCCTTTAACGCTCACCCTCACCGACTCGACCGCGGTGACCTTGCATGCGAGCCTAATGGAGCCGCTTCGGCGCATGCGCCGTAAGGGTTCCATTGGGGCTTCGCGTCCAAGCTCTCCCACGGTGCGACGGCTCGGTGACGAGTTGGAGAGCATTAGTGCGGACTGTGTTGGTGTCCCCGATACCCCCCCCAGCTCCCGAGGACCCGAGGCGCGTCTAGCTGCTGAACTTCGCCGCAGCGCCGCCCGCGGGGGGACAGGAGAAGGAGTAGGAACAGGAAGGAAGGAGTTTCACACGCCGACCTTCGATCCTCCCTCCCCTTCCCCGTCGGGAGCAATCCCAACCGCGTCAGGCGAAAGCCTCACCGGTCTCGATACTCCAGGGCGCTTTCGCGCTAACCGCCGATGGACCTCAGGTGCTGGGACCCCCAGCCCTGCGACCGTCCCTGTAGCGGAGCACGTAGCTACCTTTGAGGAACTCAGTAGACCAGTGTCGGCACAGCCACAGACGCGGTACCCCAAGGCATCATCGGATGAGACACCACGCACATGGTCCGAGTCGCAGCTCGTCCGCGCGCAACCGCCGTGGAGCCCCAGGCCCATACGGCGAAAGCAGGTCGAGCCCGCGCACTGCCTCTCAGAGGCCATGCACTCCCCGCGACAGGGGGCACAGGGAAGCTGACGCTCCCCACCTCTCCATCTCAGACGACCAGCTGGCGGAGACGTCCGCCGCAGGTGACATAGCTGAGCTCAGAGACCAGGTTGAAACCTTCGTGTCCAGCCAATACTCTGGACTATTACAGAGCGTTCAGACGAACGCCACTGATACTGCAGCCATACGCCGCGATCTTGACGGCGCCTTAGGGATCATCGATTCCAGGATCGCCGAAGATCGACGCATCATAGGAGAACTGCAGTACCAGGTTGATCGTGAGGTGTCACACTCAGGTGAACGAACGGCGATGGTCGAGAACCTGCGCAACTATCTCGCGCAGATGGAGCAACAACTTGTGATCGTACGCGACACAGGCATTTCTGCGGTCAGGATTTTACATGATGAGATCCACGACCAGCTCCGTAACCGACCAACTCCAACCGAGGCCACAGACCTCGGCGACGTTCAGTCTCAGATCAATGATCTTCGATCTTATCTAGACCACACTACGGCGACGCTTCGTA